TATTTTATATTAGCATATATAAAAGGTAGAAAATAGAAGCTACCAAAACATAAACAGCCATTTTTAAATGGATTAGAGAAGGTACCATTTGAAGTAACTTCGCTGGATTGTGTATCAGTGTTTTTCTATATTTGCCATGCAAGTCTAGGGCAAATGCTATAATTCCCTATTGGGATCAAAATAAATTGTTTCAAAATACTATAATATACACATGAAAAGTGATTTTTTGAGAGAGATATCTGCAAATCTGATAATGCAATTAATAGCAGCATAAAATAGATTCTGGCAAAGCAGGTTTCCGTGCTATTCATTGTCTTTCTTTCCAACAGAGGAATCAAATGCATTTCCTGGACTTTGTTCCCTGCTCTGTTTCCCAACAAAAAAAGGATGGTACAGAATGAACTTTTCCTGTGGGCACTGGAGTGCTTTACTTCACTAAATTGGTCAACTGGCTGATTAATGAACAGTACTGATCTACTGATGTACTTCATTCTCGGTCAGAATAGTATTAGAGAGTCTGTAAACTAAGGATATTAAAAATTTTAACTGGAGCTAATTTGTCTATTGCTCTCACATGTTAGTTTTGAAAATATTTTTAATGTCAACCTGCAAGATTAATTGTACTAATTTCTATCCCATTTAAAGGGTAATTTAGCAAATGAGTCATGGCTGTATTTTTATGTTTGTATCTCTTTATATAATCCTATTAGTCTTCCTTTCTGTAAATTACTTGAAATAATTACTCAAACGTATATGGTTTTAAATAAATATAGAATTAAAAAAAAATCAGCAATGCCAAAAATAAAAACTAAGTGGTTCGTATGGCTGCCAGCTTTGGAGGAGAAAAACAGTCTAAGAAAAGAAATTAGAGATTCATGTCATGTCACACAGGAAAGAGAGAAACTACTTAGGAAAAGTTGCCAGCTAGCCTGATTCTAAGTTATTTCCCGTATTTGGGGACATTGAGGAGAATACTGGCTGTGAAACTCAGCAACTTATTTCTGTTAGGCTGCCAAAAGAAAAATAATAGAAGTGGCATTCTGAACAAGAATGAAAATTACAAACTAAAACAAATGGCACATATAAACAATTATAGGTAAGTATAATAATTTGATTCAAGGCAATCTTTAGTTGCACAAGAAATGTCTTAGTAATTACTATTTTAATACATTTTTATTCTCCATTTCTTGTCCCATGGATTTCAAGCTGGCATAATAGTGTCTCCCAACAGCTGTTTATCCTCAAAAGAGTCCTGCAAGGCATTGTAAGCTGGGAGATAGCAGCTGGTCCAAACATAACCAGTAAGCTTCTATAGCTGAGTAGATATACCCTGTTGTTGCTAAGGAACTCAACACTTCCCTCCCACTGAACATGTGACTGTTGGGAAGGGGAAGATTCAAGAAACTGTATTTTATCTGTTTTGTGAAAAAATATGCTTATTTTTCTGCAACACACTTAGCACATTCACTGCAATCCCAAATAATGACTTCTTTCGACAACAACAAGAACAAACTGGAATCCCTTACATTTTTGTTGATAACAAATAATTCTTCTCGAGGGCCCATGCTGTTCCCCGCCCCCACAATGTATAAGGCTCATCTTTACTTGCTGATCTAATTAGCTTTTTAAATATGCAAGTTTCAAGATAACGTCAGTAATTTTTTTCAAAATCAAATAAAAAAAAAGAATGATTTCTAAAGAATAGCATAATCAGAAATACAGATGAAAATTATAACATTCCTTATATTTATAAATATAAGGGGATTAAAATCTATCAAAGCTATGACCTCAGTGCTAGATAGTTAAATAACAGAAACCTCCAAACAGTAAAAAAAAAAAAAGAAAAGTAAAGAAAAAGAAAGTATACTATATATAGCATGAAATTCACAATATAATCAAGATTAATTAAGTGTAAGGCTGCTTAAGCAGCCTTAGTCTAGGCCACTTGACTAGATGGATGTTTATCTTGAACACAGTTATGAAAACTAGGCCATTAGGAAAGAGTTGAAAAAGAGCCTTAGAAAACATCTAAGCTGGAACAGGCCGCCAAAAATATTCTTGACATGTAAAACTTTATTATCATATTTACAAGTATATTTAGTATTTAGAATAATTGACTGGAACATAATTTTCATGAGCAAGGCTTTTTAAAAGGTCTCTGCATTTCTTTCCCAGTTTCTGAGAGTGGCACAAGTATGTTAGAGTATTTTCTTTTCCAAAAAACGAAATGAATTTGTCTAGCAGTACAGCATTTACCACGCTATTTTTCAAGTTTGCCTCAACAAATAATAATGTTTAAAATTATGTTGCAAGGGAACTGATGTCTTAGAGAAATAGCTAGCAAGCTGGTGACTGATACACAGGAAAAAGAGATTTATAAATGAGGACCATGAATATGCTGTGCTGGTCAAAATTTAAAATAAGAAGAAGATGCAACAGAAAGGAACATGGTTCATGTTCCATAAACTGGTATCTCAAAAGTCACACAGTCAAGGTGGGCCCTAGAGAAAGACTTGCTTATTGAATATGTAATTAATGTGGATGCGATTTTTCAGTACTGTGCTACCATCTCAAATGGCTCATTCTAAAGATTATATGTAAATAATATGTAAATAAGACTGGCTGTAGCATAAGTGAAGTACTAAGGAAGACATGGGTACACATAAAAACAACCTGGTGATTTCACTTTATACTAGAATTCAATCCATAATAATTAAACCTTCAAATAATTAACAGAAAATACATTTTGTCCTATATATAACTAATAGCAATATAGCCACTGCCATCTTCAATATTCTGTTAACATAAGGTCATTGAGTGTTAGTTACAGAAGGACAAATGAATGGCAAATATTCAGAGATGCACCCTTGTTTACATATAAGATTTGAGATGTTTATATTTTAAATTGGCACATATAAAAATAGTATTTGAAATATTTTTTATTTTATTATTTTATTCATAACGTTAAAATGCAGATTTCAAAAAAAGGGAAAAAATTGCAAAAACAGAGCAAAACTAAACAAGACATTAAAAATTGTATATGGAAATAGGGAGATTATAAATTCTTGTCCTGCCTCAGGCACAATGCCAGCTGAATGACCTTGAGCCAGTCATCTCAGCCCTAGGAAGAAGGTAATGGCAAGCCATTTCTGAAAATGTTGCCTAGAAAATTGCAGAGACTTGTCCAGGGAGCCATCAGAAATTAGGACCAATTTGAAGCTACAAATATAAATCTATATGCTAAAACTCTCATTATTGTGACCTTGCACTGGATAAAATGATGCATTATAGGGCAACCATTTTTGAAATAAGGTGCCTCAAATGGACTAACTTACAGAAAAATGTCCAAAATCCAGAAGTCATGACTCCTAAGGAAATGAAATTTGGGGAAGTTGTGGATCCTACAGTGTTATTGACTGCTATTACATAACTGCTGCAGCCATGTAACCCCCATTTTCAATGTTCATGACAATTTCTAGTCAGTCTTACAATTCCTTGCCTTCTCCCTTATCTAGCAGTAGCCATTTATCTGCTTCTACGAAAGGAAGGGAAGGGAGATCTTCAATGCTTCCTGCCAGATTCCTATAAGGAAACTAAATGGGAAAGGCAGCAGGAAATCAGAAGTCACTCCTACTCTCACAACTTTTTTGCCCAGCCTTGGTCAATCTGTTTTTCTGTTTAGATAAAGAAATACTTCTGAAACAATGAGCCAATTGGGCACAGCTGACCTAGCATATTATAGCATTTCTACACCTGGTATGGAGTCAGTCACTCTGTTTAATCCGAAAAGTCCTACATTTTATATAGGTAAATTGCTTTTTCAATCAAAGTACTAGGATTCTATTGCATTTGGTCAACAATAAAGTTGCTTGATTTATGACCCCAATAGATCCAGGAATTTTCATAAGTCATATTTGTCACAAATCAAGACACTCACATGATCAGATCCAATTTTATAACTTTTTTGTGCTGGTCGTTAAGTTAACGCTGTGGTTGTTAAGTGAATCAATACATTCCTTTAAGAGTTTTTTGACAGAAACCATTAAAAAATCTGGAAACTGGTAAAAGAAATAATAAAACATGGTCATGTGATCACTGAATGCTGCAACTAGCCATAAAGTTTAGCCAATTGCCAAGCACTCAAAATGCAGTCATGTGACTGTGAGAAGATTTATTTTTGGAAGTCTGGAACAGACTTATAAGTAGTTTTGGATGGGGTCCATTGTAACATTGAATGGTTGCTAAGCAATCAGGTGTAAGTTGAGGACTACCTGTGCTGATGGTAAACTCATACACCAATATTTTTTTTACAAATTCCAAGCAACTCTAATTCAATAGGCTAGTCAAATGTTGCAGTTTATTGTTTCATCTATTGTGGTTTGGGACCCACATCTGCAAATTATGAATGTTTTCATTTTGTTTTTTTGTAAGATCAGTATTGCAATATTCTAAAGGCACAATCAAAATATAGTCTCATTTTTTTATTTGGTATAAATATTTGCATGATCCCATCATTCAGAAAGAATTCTCATTCATCTAAGCAACCAGAATCAAGGTAACCCATCTTTGACAATTTGCTTCTTGAATAAGCATTTTTGAAAGTTGTCTATAAAGGACAGGCATGTATGTGAGATGGGTAATACATAAAACAAATAAACAAGCACATAATATCAAAGTATGATTCAGTTTTATGGAAGAGAGAAGATTGGATGTATAATGAAGAAAAAGGAAGGGAAGTAGGAAACTAATTATCCCAAAGTAGCAAAGCAGTGTTATTATTTGTCTCAATAAATTCTATTTTATTTGTATTTTAGAGTAATTTGAAAAAGGGTTTTTTTAATGAAATAACTCTGTTCAGTCAAAAAAATAGTTTGAGTTTCATATACTCTAGCAGTCTAGCAGAAAATGAAACAATTCTGATTCATTTGGCGTTCTTTCCAGAATCTGTACACTGAAACTGAGAAACCTACAACTTCTAGCAGTTTAATAAAACAACTTACCATCATAAGTAAAAAAGACAGAGTAGTCAGGGAATGAATGCTTGTAAAATTTCACTGCCAAGTTAGTTCTGGATTATTTTTGCAAGAAGCCAGCCAAATATTTAAGACTGAGAATGAAGAAACAAACACTGGGAAGTCATCAGGATCAGAGAAGTCATTTTCTTTGAATCATTTTCTTTTCTTGGCATACCTCTGTAAAAAAAAGCATACAGAATTCAGTTGTATGATAGATATAATTGTTAAATCCATAACAATGCAATAAATGTAATATTTGGCCTTTTTTTTTTACTACCACAGTTGTAATCAAGATTACTGATGAACTTGATTAACAAATTCATTTGAATCACGGGTCTCTGATGCCTAAAGGACACAATGTTTAGAAGAAATTGAAATAATTCCTTCCTTATCATTCAGGACTATGTGTAAAGAAGATCTGTATCCACATTAAAGGGAGAAGTCTGAGAAGCCAATTATTCATTAGATATCTAAATGCAAAAACAAAAATGAAAATGGGATAGAAACATCAAAACCAAAAGTTGCTATAACAATAATGATGCCACCTCACTGCTATCCTCTGCTTTTTGTTTATGTTCTTTCCAATGTACCATTTGCCTTTTTATCAGCTGCATCACTCTGCTTGCTTTAACTTGCAGCTAAAAAGACATCAACATCCTTTTCACTTTTACTACTCCCACATGATGCCTCTCTGACATTGCATTTTTGTTATCCAATTTCCAGAGATTTCCCCCCAATAAATCTGATCTTGTTCATTTCAATCCATTGTTTATGACTATTTATTTTATTAAATACTTTTTTTCCACAGCAGTGAGGTGTTCCTCTACAGATTTGATAATTGCCCTCTGCAACCACGTAATTAATCCAATTGTTGATCCACGTAATGATAGTTTCCAATCTGTTTTGGAGCCAGTCACAAATATCGTACTTTCTGAATATGATAATTTAACCAATTATGAATTCATTTTAACAGTTGTATAATCTAGCTCTTATTTTACTATTTTAATAATGACAATATATTAAGACACTGTTGAAAGCTTTAGTGAGATCAAGGTATAGTAAATCCAAAGCAGTTCCCCCCTCCCCATCTTTTAAAAATAATCTAGCATTACTTGTTTTGACATATCCATCTTGACTCATATTAACTTCAAAAATTTGCCATTTAATACTCTCTTTTAAAGCCAGTTTAGTGTAGTGAATCAGTCATCAAGCTAAAACCAAAAGAAACTTGAATTCTAGTCCCATTATAGGTACAAAGCCAACCTGAACTTGGTGAACTTGGGGAAGCCACTTCTGAAATCTTGTCAAGAAAATTACAATGATTTGTCCTGGCAAGAAATCTACATTGACTCAAAGGCACAAAAATAATATCATCATCATCTGTTTGAAGACTTTGATTTTGTCATCTATAATTTCTCGGGTGTTCCTTCACCTTTTTGAAGGTAGGGAAATGGTTTACCTTTCTCCACTTTTCTGGGGCCTCCTAGTTGTCCAAGAGGTCAAACACTATTGAGCATGGTTCTGCAATCATTTCTCCTAGTTTGTTCAATATTCTAGAGCAGGGGTGTCAAACTCACAGCTTGCGGGCCGAATGTCACGTGCTGCCCCGCCCCCACCTGGTTTAGTGAAGGGGAAAAAAGTCCTGATATGCCAGGTGATGCCATGATGATATAAGTTTGACACTCCTGTTCTAGAGCAATGTTTGTCACTGAAATGCTACAGACTTTCAGAACATATTGATTTGACTACTATTTTTTATTGGAGAATTTGGGTTCCATTTCTGCTGTGTGCTGACCTGAATTATATGATAAAATTCAATATTTGCACAGAGAATAATGAATATGCAAAATATGCAATTTCAAGGTGATAATTGCAATTTAATTAATTTAATTAATTCCATTGTGAAGCAGGAATTACATAACACTGACGGAAGAGTTTTTGAACAGTTTCTCAGCATGAATTTCATGAAAACATCCTACTCAGATTTTGATAGAAGAATTTTGCTTTCATCTGTAGGCACTAAAGAATGACTTTGAGATTTGATTTAAATACTGAATTGATTTGAAAATACTTGCTTGGGTTGCAAGTCTATTCATTTGCACAGTGGGAGAGCAATTATTTAATCTGCAAGAAAAAACAATTGAGCTTCAGAGTGATGAAGAATCAAGGCAAATCTTCTACAGAAGAAGACATCAAACTATGTGGCTGCAAGGTGAAATTTCCATTCCATGGGGGAAAACAAAGCTTCTTTCTATTTGTTTTTCATCTTCTTATATCTTTGAATTAGTATTAGTTCAGTGAATTCCATACTAATGAAACATCAAAATCATATGGATATTGTTATTTTAGTGATTTAGGAATGCTACTATCCAGGTTTCCTCTAGATAATATGAAGTCAAAACTATCAAGCTCAAGGATTACACTAGCATCTTATAATAAATCTCATTTTATTTACTTTACTAAATCTGTGTATGTTAATGAAGCACATTAATAGTATGTAATCTAAATGCAATTAAAAAGGCATGATAAAAGTAATCAGTACAATCATTAAAAATCTTATGTCAAATTTTACTCATATTTACATGCAGGAAACACTAGCAATTAGATAGTGTGCAAAGGCATAGTAGTTTATATAGAAGTACTAGGTTGAAAAGTTTAGGTGATACTTTTCTAGGATATAATTTATCTGAACACGGATATTTGAATTTATCCAAGTTAGCTATGCTCTTTCTTACTCTTTTAAGCCTATAATTTCCCCTCTCCTAATGGCATAATGATGGTTTTTTCATTCTATAAATTAACTTGTCAAAAATAATTTCACAGAATATTTGGAGAACATTATGACAAAAAGTTCCGTTTGGTTTCTGACCCTATTCATTTTTGTTCTTTTAGTTACAGTGTTCATTATTCAATATCTTATAACAGGTCTAAATCATATATCTCAATAAAATTCAAATTGCTAAGAAATAGACAATATGTTCTCAATATACGTTCATATCTTCTTGCATTCTTCCACTAATGTTTTCCAACTTATGCAATTGAACATAAGAAAATAACATCTCTGAAACTTCATGCTTCAATGGACTTTTATATAAAACAGACAAACAAATCTAAAATAAACCATGGAGTATATATATTTTAGGTATTAGTTAAATGTACTATTAATATTTCCATCAAAATATTAAAGCTATCGCATTAAAACTATATTTTTCCCCAAACAACATTTAACTCTGAATAGATGTGACTGCCTACAATCATACAATTGACGGTTTCTTTTCAGATCTATCTCAATATCAACTCTATTCTTAGAGCACATCCCAGTATTACCTGAGAAAGATTTTGTTCTAATTGTTCTAAAGAGATTTTTCATTCGATAGAATTGTTTGGATATAAATTTCTCTATCTGGACTAAATAAAATTTCCTTTAGAAGGAAATGATGGATAAAAACAGGATGGATTTTGTATCACACAAAATTACTGACTTTACATCAATGTATACTAGGTTTGGTTAATCTAAAATAAACCTCTCTATGCTTCCATTTGTTCATTTCTTATCTATTTTTTTACACATTCATCAGTTAATGGCGTTCATTGAGGAATCCTAAGCAAGAGAAAACAAATATTATTCAGTACATAGATTTCCTACTCCGGTGATAGAGCAGTGTGACTGCTCCAAACTCCTTTTCTAAAACAAGTGCCTAAAAATGGTTGATGTTCTTCAATGCTTTAAATTATTTTTAAGCTCAAGTTCTAAAACTGTTGCATTGTTTAACATAAACTACTTTGCTCTCTCTGTATCCCCCCCCCATCTCTCTTAATTACAGTCCTGGGTTTCTATTGCTTTTAGTGTGGGGAATGTCTAATTAAGATCCATTTACCATACATTCTTATATTGCTATTAATATTAACCAGTCTTCTTCCATTTTCAAACAACAGAATCTCCAAGTAGAGAAGCAGAGGCATTTTCTTTTTAGTGCAGTATATGTTAGAAACCCACAAATACTGAAGACATTTTTATTAGAGAGTAAGCCCCACTGAACATACCAGTTCTTAATTTGTAAGCACTTTACAATTGTAAGTAAAGCATATTGCAGCATATTATTATTTCACATGTTCATTAGGTTTATTTTTAACTGTTCAAATCGTATTTTGAATCATAACAATTTCACAGCAAGCAAACAGAGCAGCCCCTTCAGCAATGCACACTTTTGCCTCTGTGTTGTAAAATCAAGCTGCTATGGAACAAGAGAATTAAAGTAACAAGTCAGTTTTCAGCTATGAAACATTGGGATATATGTTTTATCATTGTTATTATTCAATCAATTTATATTCTGCCTTTTTACCCCCAAAGCATTCAGACTGATTAGTAATCCAAATAAATACATTGTCTCGGTAACTGAAAAGTTCCGCAGTATATCTGAATCCTGTGTAGCAATGTTTTTGTGTATAACATTTATTATGGCTTTACCCAAAAGGAAGAAGAGTCTGATTTTAAGAAAAGAAATGAAACCCTTTCTAGGAAGAATCCAAACATCAATGTAGGAAAAAAGAACTTGGACAGGACAGTCCTTTTTAGGCTAGCAATATCAAATCCAACTCAAACCAGATTACAAAATAATTTCATCTGTATATAACATGGTTTCTCACATACAATACGTGGACAAATACATTCAAATCCCTTCTTCTAAAGAAAAAACAGAAGAAGAGGGGGGGAACAGAACAAAGTTAAAACAAAAAGATGGATATTGATATCAGAAAAAGACCAAAATGAAAGGGAGAAAACTGGATGGAAGTGATGTAAAGGAAAGAGAGAAGAGTGACAGATGCCCTATTTAAAAGGTAAAACCTCTTTCGATTTAAGCCAAATTTCTGCTGGCCACATATATCTTGTTTTCTTGCAAGAATGGAGCAGTGGATTATTCTTACACTCTTCAAGAAATTTGTTATTCACTTCCCACGTCAACTTAAAGTGCTGTGATTTCTTGGTGGTCTCCTATCTCAAATAAATGAGATGCTGCCATCAGCTGTATAAAAGTAATGAAACTCATCAGGATTTTTCTCAGCACCTGCCAACAAGAGTAATTTAATCTATTCTTCATAGTTACCCAAGTCTGCAATTCCTCTTGCTCATTCCTTACTTTAAACAGTATTTTCTATTCCGATCAGCAAATATAAGCTAATCGCAGCTAATTATGTGCCACTCTTCCCAAGTAGACCAGACAGACCAGATGAATTACTTCTATATTATTGTAAGGATACATTAACAAAATCTTCCATGTCTGAAAGTACAAGCCTCCTGCCTCCCTTCTTACAGGGTTATAATTTTTGGGGAGCGGGGGTCCATTCTAAGTTTCTTTCTCTGCCTGTAATGCAGCTGCAGGCTTCCCCAACCCCTTTTATCTGACTGTTTTCTAGGCAGCGTCTCTGCCCTGTCTCTCAAGGTCATTTCTACATTACATTACACTATAGCAAGGGTGTCAAACTCAAGGCCCAGGGGCCAGATGTGGCGCACATGGTGCTTACATCTGGCCCGTGGGGCTGCCCTGGAAACAGTAAAAGACCATGCCTATCCTGACCACGCTCATCCCGGTCCCCAAGGTCAAACACAACCCTCAATAAAATCAAGTTTGACACCCCCGCACTATAGGAAGAAAAACCCTTGCAGGTAAACCAGCTAAATGACTTAAATATATATAATTCATAAATAAAACAGCACCTATCAAATAAAAGTATAGGTTTCTTCCCTTCCATCTTGAATAGTTTAAAACCAAGACTATGGGTATTATAGAATCCAACCTCTAATTAGATTCTACTTTTTAAAAATCAGAAGATTCTGCAGTGGCCAAAAATGCATTTCCACAGTTAATGCTAGTGCCAACTATGTCCATTTCTGAAGACAACAAAAAATATAGGATCAAATTTACAGCAACAGTCATTTCTGGATGAATGAAATCTGCCAACAATTTTGTTTAAATATATTTGCTTTTTGAACTGTTAATAAAGTGACATCTCTATATATGAAACCATTTTAACAAAACTGTATATAATTTGCAGCAATATCTCCCCCCACCCCAAATTAAGTTAATAAGACCTCCATTTCAAAGACATAGGTGTAAAAGCTTTGTGCAAATAACATATTTAAAATTTAGGATTAAACTATTATTAGGAACTTGAAAGTCAAGGACCAGGCACACAGGAACTTCACAATGAAATTTATAAAATCCCGTGCTCTTAAGTCTTTCAACACTGGATGACTTACCCATCACTTACTTTTACATCTCAGTGCTTAAGTCTAGAATTAAATCAATGGAGCAGATTCAGCAGAGCCTTCAGAAGGAGTACAGGTGATATGAAAGGGCAGGAAGACTAAAATTAGGCTTCAGTACAAGAACAAGCACATGGCACGTTTGTCCCTATTTTCAGTTATAAAATGTTCAGGGATGACATAATTTACTATCAGTAATGACAATCATTAAAATTTCACAAGGAAGAAAGCTGGGTCATAATTGTCATTTTCCATAGAATCATGTATAGGAATGACACTAACTTCATCCCTTGTATACTAGTCTAATCTATTTGATGAGTATTTTATTGTTTGCGGAATGGAAGGGAAGGGAAGGGAATGGAAGGGAAGGGAAGGGAAAGGAAGGGAATGGAATAGAATAGAATAGAATAGAATAGAATAGAATAGAATAGAATAGAATAGAATAGAATAGAATCCAAGTGTGATTGGACACACAAGGAATTTGTCTCCTGTGCAGATCTGTATATCTACAGATCTGCACACTATATATCTAAATCTACAGCTGTAGATATTTTCTCAGCCCTCTTTCTAGTTTGTGCAGTACACAGATCCTCAATAGAAGCCAGGATGGTTACAATTGTTTTTTTTTTTTTTGCATTCCTAACTATTCATTGAAGTCTGTACCTGACCTGTTTGGTTGCTGTACCAAACTAGGCTATTATTTAAGTACAAATGATAGTCTCAATAATTATAGAACTATATCAACAGGTCCTGGGGCAGTCTGAACTTTCTGACTTGACACAGGAAGAACATTCTTTGTTGTGCCTTTTTAATGATGCATTTAATGTTAGTTATCCATTTCAAATCCTGGGAGATTATAAATTCAAATCCTGGGAGATTATGAATTCAGATTAGATATTCTTATAAATATTTTTCTAAAAAAACTTACATATTTATATATTTATTTAATACCTAAATAAAGTC